TTGTCCTGAAGAAGCTTGTCTCACTGGCTTTCTTGATAGGAACTTGGCTGTTACCATCAGAGGAGCTCAGGTCTTCGCTGTTGCTGAGGATGGCTGTAGTTCTTTTCAGAGGAGCTCTGGTCTTACTTTGAGTGTTGCTTCCTGGCTCCAGTGCAGATCCCTCACCCTGCTGGCCACAGACTTTCTAGCTTTCACCGCTGGCCTTTGGGTCTTCCCAGTGCAGATCCTTGGTGCAGACTTGTAGGAGACATTGTTGTGGACCCTAGATGTCCAGCTGGACTCATGGAGGACACTGCCATGGAATTCAGGCCCTCAGCTGGATTCTTTGGGTCTCTAGTGTGTGGGCAGATCTCCCACACTCTTTTGCATTTGATTCTTTGGGTGAATTTTATAAAATAATCGTATAAATTATGTGTCCCGTGTTAAATTGTTTCCTTCACAAACCTCAACTACAACATCACTGAAGTTCAGCATTGCTGACTAGTGAGAACTAGACATTATATAGTTCTGACAGCGTAGTATAAAGACTTAGAGTAGTATAAAGTACAGTAGCAACAGTTCTGATCAAAAAATACCTAACCTGAATGCTGTCAAGCCTTTAAACCAAACTTCTAATTTACAGGAAATATAGGAAGTAAAACTGTTAAGTTCTAATATGAGAAAACAACCAGACAGCTCCGGAACATGGGGCATTCTCCAAGACTACTTGCCTGGTATTTTCACAAACAACTGTGTAATGAGAGGTAGGGGAGACACCTCTAAATCAAAAGAGAGGTAGCAGCCAGTAAGTAGTGCCTGAGGACTGATTTGATCCTGGTTTTGGTGGTAGGGGTTAGGGTAGGTGGAACAGCTCTGAAACACTTAGGAAATTTCGGTAAACACTAGCTACATTCACTGAAGTTGTGGAGTTATTTTTCAGTTTTCTTAGGTATGGTACCAGTGTGGTTAAATAGGAGAAAGTATATTTCTAAGGTATGATTAGTAAGAGAGTCCCTCTCATATCCTTCACTTATTTTAAGTGTACACACACACACTAAGCAAATACATAGGTAAAATGTCAATAATTTTCTTGAGGAAGTGTGTATATGGCTGTGTTAAAACTTCTGCAAGTTAGACATTTTTCATAATAGGACAGAAAGTTCTTAGCATGCAGTTGAGAAAAATAGTATTTATTGACGATGACCATACCATATACAGTGTGTTCCTATAAAAATCTGTGACCACTGGGGATCTATGCCTACATTACATTCTTCAGAATAACCTTTTTTACTGCACTGTGGGCCTGACACCACAGGCTTACATTGACAGCTGGTGTAGATAACATTTCTGTGAAACGCTTTTGTGTTGTAGGATGTTTTTGAAACCTTTGTTTACTGGATTGCATGATAGCTTTCTTGGGGAAGGTGAAACCTTGTTTCTGTAACAGTGTAGTTGTGCTGCACCCGAGAAACTGACTGAGGCACGTTACAGACAGTGAGTTGCTTCACTGGAAAGCTCAGGTGTTGCTTGCAGTCCCTCTCTAGCAGGTACACTTCCCAGCTGTATTCCTGATGGCTTCGTACCTGGTCTTAGTTTTACTTCATCCTGTTTTCCTCCGTCCTTTTTTTAAATTTTAGTTTATAAGATGCTTTATAGGCAACAATGTTGTAGCATCGAGAGTCTCACTATGTACAGTAGTTCAGGGTGGCATTGAAATCACTGCGTAGTCCAGGATGGCCTCAAACTCAAGGCCAACCTCCTGCCTCAGCCTCGAAAGTACTGAGATTACAGGCACGCACCACCACGCCCTGCAGGAGGGAAATTCTTTTTTTAAAGAGAGGACTAGAGCAGGGCAAAGACCATGGCCAGCACATAGAAGTGAATTTTCAAGGGCAGGTGGAATTGGCATTTTCTTTGAGAATTTCATTCTTTTATTTATTTTTAATTAAAGGAAGTAAAACAAACCATTAGTAGTTATCTATAGCATTTCTTAAAGAATTATGTGTAAGTCCCACAGAAAAATTACATTAGTAGCTTTTGAATAGTATTCAAATTTCTTTTTTTTTTTGGTTTTTCTCCGGTACCAGGAACCGAACTCACGACCTTGCGCTTGCCAGGCAGGTGCTTTGCCGCTGAGCTAAATCCCCAGCCCCAGTATTCAAATTTCTTCCCTCACAATAGTATCATTCTTCAGTTAAATGATACTTCTTGTTTTATGAAATACTTTTCAGCATCAGCATGTTGAAATCCATGTTGTGTTTACAGTTCTCTTTTGCTGCCTTCTAGGGCGTTATAGTCTCCCTCCAGTTTGGATTGCCGTATTATATTACAAAAGCTGCGTTGTCTGACAACGGCATGTTTACAGCAGGAATAGCATCACTTAGTCTAACATGCATATGCTTCATGGACTAAAGATGGCTAAAACATTTTAAGAGCTGTGTATTAAGAATGTCTTTGATATACTTAAGTTTACTTTTTTTTTTCTTCCAGTACTGGGAATCAAACTCATGACTTTGCGCTTGCCAGGCAGGCACTGTGCCACTGAGCTAAATCCCCAGCCCCAAGTTTACTAACTTTTAAAGTATTCACTTAAGGGCTGGGGATATAGCTCATTCAGCAGCATAAGCGCCTGCCTGGCAAGTGTAAGGTCTTGAGTTTGATTCCTGGTACCAAAAAAAAAAGGAGCTAAAAAAAAAAAGTATTCACTTGATAAGGAAGGTTTTTCATTAGCTGACTTCTAAGTTTAGTGGACTCTAAGCTTTTTTCCCCCTTGAAAATCTGGAAAAATAGTTGAATTAAGTTATCTTTAAAGACTTATATTTATAAAACTAAGTTTTGATTTTATATGTGGGCATACTTAAATCTTAACCTTAGCCTATGATCTATGAAGAATATACTGAAACTAATTGCCAAAGTAAGGTTAGTTGTAAGCACAGGTGTAAGGTATGGTGGCCATGCCCTTTGCCCCAGGTGGAACAATTCCTACAACTAGGATTTATTTTTCTTTGCTGAGATGGTTGGAGTCACTTCTAGTTTGCTAAAATACGATAAAACAAAGTACACACTTTCTGCACCTATTTTTAAGTGAAAATGCTACTTACTCTCATCCTCCCCCTTACTCTTTTCTTAACACTTAAAAATCAAGTTTAATTTTCTAGTCATGCCAGTCAGTCATGTGAACGCTGTACAACATCTCCATTTATACTGCTTCACGCATCACTCACAGGACAAGTTCTCACAAAGATCTGTTTTGTTCTACTGTTGATCCACCCTAAAGAAACCAGTTTCCAAACTGCAAGGCTTTGTAAATCAAGATGAACTGGTCAGAAATTGGATACAGAAGCAAACAGGAAACCAAATAATGCTGCCTAATTAATAAGTTAGTTAACAGGCACATGTAATAAAATTGAAGGTAATCAAATGTTCCGCATTCTAAGAATGTCCTCGTTAGACTGTAATGCATTTATAGTGGAGTCATACTTAAAAGGCAGCAGAGCCAGCGAGAACAAGTGATCGATTGTGAATTTCAGTTGTGTGCATTGCTTAGCCAGCACTCCGTGTGATAATGAGTAGTACCAAGGTGGAGAGAAGAGGAATCTGGTGTGTAGGCACAGGCTTCCCTCTCTCCGGCAACTGTGAGTGGGCCACGGAAGGTGCAAACACAGTATCAGATAGAATTGACTTTCCCAGGAACTCTCTCAGGAAGAAAGGAACCGACCTCTACAGAATGCATAAATCAGAGTATGTTTTTCACCAGAGTTAATTCAGACATAATGTATTCATGGAGTAATTTGTGGTTTTTGAAAATACCCTTTGAAGTATTTGCTCTTTGAATAAATATATGTCAAATTAGTTCACCTTATTCAGTGCTTTCAAAAATACCAAGCACTTTTCAAAAGTCTTTTCTTTCCAGTGATCTAATCTAAGCATTGTGCTTTTAATTCCCTATCAGATAGTTCCTAAAGAATCTGTATCTTTGTGATGTGCTTTTCTCCTTGACAAGTTAAAGAAAGTAAACAAAAACAGCTTTAAAAAATTAAAATGTCCTCTACTCACTTCCTGCCTTCCTCATCCAAAAGAAATCAGACAATTCTCAGAGTACTTTGTGAAAATATTGTGTAAGACATGAATCAAATGAATATGTCTAAAAAATAAGACTATTAGAATATGATACATTTTAAGGTGTTGCCATCTCAAAAGTTTTTGAGAAAAAAAAATTGTAATTAAAATGTTTTCTTCCTTTATGAAGATATTTGCACTTAAGCTATTCACATTCACAGATACGTTTTCTATTTTGATGAAACCAGGTTAGCTGGCTGGGGATATAGCTCAGCAGCAAAAGCGCCAGCCTGGCAAGCTTAGGGTCCTCAGTTCGATTCCTGGTACCCAAAAAAAAAAAAAAAAAAGGAGATTAGGGAAACCAGGTTGGCAAGAGGAACTTTCCTAACACATTTTTGCTTCCATGAGAGTGCAGAAGGATTAAACCGAGCGAGGAATTGCCTTCTTGTTCCCAGCCTGTTTCTCCCTGGCACACCCCAAGTTTCATAGTCTGCTCTCTGCAGACTAATTCAAGATTCTTTGATTTCCCAGTTTAATCAGATCACTGGTAACATTTGAATTGTTGAAACAATAGCCTTAAAATATAAACTAGTTTTTTAAATTACATTTTTATTAAGGTATAATCAACATATAGTAAAATACATTTGTCTTAACTGTATGAGTTTTGATCCATCAGGATGTAATATACATCAGGATCAGTAGGTGAGGTTTCTTAAAAGATACCTGCGAGGAGGTTAAAAGTTTTCTAGATGATTCTGAGCTAAACTCTGTTAAGAACCATTGTCTTTGTAAAGAATCAAATTGAATAATATATATAAAATACATAATCTTATCATGAAATGTTATATAAAGTTAGGATGTTGTTTTATAAAATATTTGCACTTTTTATATGCCTTTTTATAAAGCTTGCCATGCTGGCTCAAGTGAAATTCTCAATTTGTTTTTTCCACTTGTCTTTTAAGAAAATTAATGCAAAACTTCATGATGGAGTATGTCAGCGCTGTAAAGAAGTTCTTGAATGGAGGGTAAAATACAGCAAATATAAACCATTATCAAAGCCTAAAAAGTGGTAAGTTGTTTCTTTATTATCTTACCACTAACATATGTATATATGTAGTATAGTTTGTATTTAAAAATGTCTGTAATCTCAGCACTCAGGAAGCTGAGGCAGGAGGATCATTGCAAGTTTGAGGCCAGCCTGGGCTACAAAGTAAGCTCAAGGCCAGCCTGAACTGCATCGTGAGACCCTGTCTCAAAAAGACAAAAAAAAAAGTATATTTAATACTAACTTTATTCCCCCTTGTAGAATTTTGTGTTGGCAGGCTGAACCTTGGTTTGTGAAGGCAGACAGATAGAAAAGTAGATTCACCACTCTCTGGTCCATTCTTTCATAATGTACCACTTTGATAGAAGCTTATTTGTAAAAAGCAAGTTCGGGCAGAGAAGAGAAAGGTTGTTATGCAAAGTACTATCTTTCAGCAATTAAGTAACAATATATATAAATTAAGTAACAATATATACTATAGATTCTTAATTCTTTTTTTTTTTTTTGTCTTTTTGAGACAGGGTCTCACCTATGCAGTTCAGGCTGGCCTTGAGCTCACTTTGTAGCCCAGGCTGGTCTCGAACTCGCAGTGATCCTCCTGCCTCAGCCTCCCAAGTGCTGGGGTCACAGATGTGTGCCACCACACCTGGCATTAATTCTCTTTTTGGTTTTTGTTTTATTTTGTTTTGGTACCAGGAATCGAACTCAGTTGACATTACTTCTTAAAAGGGTTCTGACTTTCTGATTTTTTCAAAGTTTTAATATATTTCCGCAAGTTAGAGTGATTTTATAAAAAACAATCCTTCTGGAGATCAAGAAACATTAATGTAATGTTAAAACTTTGAATTATTTGAACATTTCATTCTTGCTAAATTCCAGTAAAATTAATATTTTTATTTGAAATAGCTTATATAATCCCATTATAATGTATTTTCTCTTTATTGAAATACCCTTTCATCTGTATGTCTTTGGAGTTTTTTCTTTTATTAGTATATGTTCACAGTACATAATGAATACAGCTCATCACGGGGAGTTGGTACAGTACCACATCTTCGTCCTTTTTACTTTCCCTCCCCTTTTCTTCCTTCCCCTCTTCCTCCATCCCTAGAGCCCTTTCCCATCTCCGAAAAGCCTACTTAAAGTTAAATACTGCATGGTTTCTCTTATATGAGAAGCCCAAAGTCTAAATCATTCAAAGGAGGACTGGGGAGATAGCTCAGCGGCACAGCGCCTGCCTGACAAGCACAAGGTCCTGAGTTGGATTCCAGGTTCCAAGAAAAAAATCATTCAAAGGATAGAATAAAAAAACAAAGGGGTTCTTACCTTTTAATGCAACACATGAAGATTACTGAAATGAAATGGGTTAAGGATCAGTATCATAAGTGAATAACTAGTTCGTAACTTACGGTTGCATTCATTTGTAGATTGGTGTCTTAATGAAAAGATACCAGACTTTGTGTCCCTCTGTCCCTAACCAATCTGTGATTCCCAGACTTTACACATCCTTTGCTTCTCACTTACATCCTTTAGCCTAGCTGAGTAGGGACAATATTTGAGGACAACTGCTGTGTGAAAAAGAAAATGATCATACTTAATATAAAAACTAGCATATTCTTTTTACATGAATTTTTTCTGTCTTTTTGAGACAGGGTCTCGCTATGCAGTTCAGGCTGGCCTTGAGCTCACTTTGTAGCCCAGACTGGTCTTGAACTTACAATGATCCTCCTGCCTCAGCGTCCCGAGTGCTGGGATTACAGGCATGCAGCATCATGAATTTTAGCTGAAAATAGCTGAATTTTAGCTGAAAATAGCTGAATATTTTCAGCTAAAATAGCTGAATATTTTCAGCTAAAATAGCTGAATTTTAATGTGGTAGTTATTTAGACAGATTTAGTTATTGTTGCTTTATTTAGTCATTCAGTGGGATAAACTAATAGAGTCTGATTGGAATTTTTTTTTTTTTTTTTTTGTCTTTTTGAGACAGCGTCTCACTTTGCAGTTCAGGCTGTCTGGAACTCACTTTGTAGCCCAGGCTGGTCTTGAACTCACAACAATCTTCCTGCCTCAGCCTCCCTGACTGCTGAGATTACAGGCGTGCGCTACCATGCCCGGCCTCGTGCTAGTCTTTTAGGGCAGAATTTTTAATAGTGTTTACTACAGATATATTTGACTCCCCTTTTTAGAGAGCCTCATAAATTTATTTCAGTTTTTCTCCTGTTTTCCAGCATTTCCTCCTAAAAGAAAAAAAATTTAAAAGTCTGATCACTTTTGTGCTCACTGGCCCAAATTAGCAGAAGGGAAATTGAGCAATAGGGAAAGTGTTTGCACTATCCAATTTTAGATTTCCATGAATGAATTAACTGTGTTCTCTAGATAATAATTAAATGCTGCTTGTGCAACAAATCATGTACTTTTAGCTAATAGGTATAATACAAGGTATGCAGCTTTCTGAGTATTTTCAACATGACTTCTTTCTACAAAGGCATTTTAAAATTTTTTCACCAACCTACATTTTCCTTTGGTAGCATCATTTCTAAAATAATTTGAAGTCTAGATAATAAATGTTTATGAAGCCATAGCATTTTAGTGTACTAGTGCTATGTAACTAAGGAAATCACTGAACATTCCTGACTCATCCATTATTCTAATCTTTTATCTTTAATATCTGCTGTAGCCTATGTTTAGCTTTATTATGAGTATGCCAGTATATGAAAGATCATACTAATTATGAATTTCCCAGATGCTAGACTGTGCTGTAGAATTTCTGAAGTTTTAAAATTTTAGACAGTGTTTAGTTTTCTCTGTTGCAAACCTACATTTTTATGACCAGAAAATTTTGTATACTTTAAATTCTCAAGGAACCAACTTTTTTTTCAGAAACACCCAAGATTCAGTTTAAGACAAAGTAAAAGGAAATGATGTTAGTAGTAAGTTATTGTACAGTCACTTGTCCCTTAATGGCAGGTATGTGTTCTGAGAAATGTCTCACTAGGTGATTTCAATGTTGCACAAGCATAATAAAGTATACTGAACTCAAGCTGAGAAGCTATGAATGGTGTAATCTTACGACACTGCCATGGCAGCCATCACATATGTGCTCCTTCACTGATTAAAACACCAGGATGTGGTGCATTTTCTATTGAGTTTTCTTTTTTTCTGGTACCGGGAATCGAACTCATGACCTTGCTCTTGCCAGGCAGGCGCTGTGCCTCTGAGCTAAATCCCTAGCCCGTTTGAGTTTTCTTAAAAATTTATAACACAGCAAGCTTCAGAATTCTGAGTGTGAACACACTGCCTCAGCAACTCAGGGATCAGCAGCTGTATCCTATCTTGCAGCTGTCGGGGGCAGTTGGTGGTGAGATTGCCACAGCCATGTGGTAGCTCAGAAGCTTTAAGAGACCATTGTGTCAAGAAGATGAGGGCTAGAGAGCCTATAAGGAGCTATTGTTCTGCCTCACACTGGGGTGCATGTGATTAGGCCGTTCTTAGCGGACGGGGAATCAGAGTGAAGAAATACTAAAATACGGATACAGATACTACGCCGGGCGTGGCAGCACACACCTGTAATCCCAGCACTCAGGAGGCAGAGGCAGGAGGATCATTAGGAGTACGACACCAGCTTGGGCTACAAAGTGAGCTCCAGGCCAACCTGAACTGCATGGTGAAGTCAAAAAGACAAAAAGAAAAGAGCAATATATGAGTGTGATTAAAAAAAAATTGAAAGTGAAAACATCGTAAGTGGGAAACCATCTGTAGTTTGATGCTAGATGTCAAAGATGTGTCTTATATAAAGAGTCATTTTTCTGGTACCCTGAAAATTGCTATTGGCTAAAATGTTGGATATTAATTTGTTTCTCCAGTGGCCACTTGTTACAAATTATGTAAGCAAGTACAGTAATGTATGTAAAGAAATGTTTAGTACAATATAAAATTTAGGAAGAGAGACCTTTTATGAGTGAATTTCTTTTAGAATGAAGTAATAATATTGCAAATGTTGGAAAAATAAAACACCTTTCTCCCGTTTGTCTTGTAAATTGCCCAAACTCATACATAATTCACAAATTTCCACCACCCAAGGGACCTATAACCACAAGTGTGAAGAAAGCAGCCCCTACCAAGCCTGAGGTCCTGAGTTGGATTCCTGGTACCAAAATAAAAGTGCAAAAAAAAAGACTTGGACACCTAAACTCTTCAAAATTACCCCTGTTTAACCATGGGAAGAAAAACGATACTGTTTATGCTTAACAGACAATATTTTCTTTTTCAGTGAGGTCACCTGCTGCGGGGTTTTTATAAATGTGTTCTTTACGGTAGTTTCACTGTTAGTGAAGACAGTGCTGGCCATCCCCAGAGATCGTTCAGAAAGACAGACAAATTGAAAGCTGGATTTGCTAGAGGAGAATGGAGTGAAGCAAATGAGAGGAGAGGGAATTAAAAGCCCATCACCTGTTAGTAATTATCAACAGTGTGGTACTGGCCCTTCTCTTTGATGGGATAAGGGAATTTTGAGTGGCTCTGAATTTAGATCCTTTTTTATTTGGAGACAGAGTCTTCCAGAGTTGCGCAGGCTGGCTTTGAACTTGCAATCCTCCTGTCCCTTTCTGCCTCCCAAGTAGCTGGGCTGACTGCCGTGCGCCACTGCACCCCCCACAAAGCTTTTGATCCTTAGTGAAATTCGGTGAAGGGCTCATAAAGATAAAAGCACTAGAACCAGCTGCCACACTTGTTGATGCACTGTCATAGGAGGGTCCTCTCTGCGAGGATCCCACCCATTTTGGCTGATGTCTTTTCGTTTTAAGGCTGGAACCTGCTGCTCCGTGGAAGAGGGCTACTGCAGTGCCTGCCACATCTCCCTTGACACAGAAAGGCATAATCATGGCTAGACCTCAGCCATAGGTTTTTGGACTTCAAGAATATACATATTGTGGTTCCAGGCAAAACTAAGACTTTTATATAAGAACCTCATTTTTTAGTCACCTTGTTTTTAACTTATGAAAAACAAACCCAAGATAAAACTATTCATT